CATCTTTTATGTAGACACCGCATTTGTTCGGAGTTGTCTTAATGATAAAAAAAAATAAAATAAAAACTAAAAGAGTAAAAATAAGAAAAAAATAAATAATAAAAAAATTAAAACAAAAAGGGAAGGAGATAATGATAATGATAAGAAAAGTTTTGAATGAACAACCAAACGGATTAAGAATCAGTTTAAATCAATCCTAATCGAATAATTTTTGAAATTCATTTAAAAAAAGATGAAGGAAATCCTAATCCAAGACCAACACAAAATGAGTATTGTTAGTGTATAAGTCTCAATAAACAATATAACAAAAGAGGGTGAATTAATATATAAAAAATCTCTTTTAAAATCTACGTATAAAAATCAAAACCTTTTCACCCAAAATGCTTTTTAGCATCAAAACCAAGTTTCCAACAATAAATCACTGAGTATAAAAATAATATACCAAAGTAAAATATTTTTTTAAAAATTTAAATGATAGCTATGAAAAATAAAAAGAAAAATAATTTCCTAAATGTGAAGCAATAAATCAATATAAAACTATTTTCCTAAGGCAAATATAGGCAATGAATAATAGTGTAGAAAATTAAAAAGAGACATGAAGAATTTATAGTGGTTCGGCTTTTTCGATGTCTACATCCACTTTCTAGGTAACCAAGGACTTTTAACCCACTATCAAGGTTTTTTGCTTTTTAACGGGACAAAGTGATAATCCTTACACAATCCACAAAGGGTTTTTGCTTTTTATCGAGATTAAGTAATAACCTTTATAATAAAATTTTCACAAGATTGTTGTGGATTTAGTATACGTATCGAACAAGTAATATAGATAATAGGTCCATAATCGTATCTAATGGAGATTTGCTCTTAATTGTTCACTAAGTACAAAAATTTTGATAGATTAATCTTATTCAAGTAATTTGATTTTGTAAACAATTAATTAAAACTAAATTTAATCAGAAAACTAACCTAATTAAAGAAGACTAAAAATTCACTAGAGAAAAGTAATAGATTAAAACTTAGGATTATGAGTTCATTCAACATTTCATCTAATATTTGTTTCTCTCAATATTTACATTCATGGATCGTTTTTCTAACCTAGAATCCAAACCTATGCACAAGTTTCCATTGAGAGGCTTGCTCCAATATCTAACTTAATTAAGTCACCATATGTCTATTGTAATCAATTATATAAGGTTCATTAAGCTTGTGTTCTAATTTGACTATGTATGGAATTTAGGCATATGTATACCCTAATTGCAAATCAGATCACTTAAGTGATGTGAATATATACTACTCAAACCTTAGTCCAATTTAAAATTATTTTATTGAGTCTCATTTAGATTCACAAATAATTCAATTGTTAGCTAGTGTTAGTCTCAATGGAGTGCTAGAGGGGGGTGAATAGCATTTTTAAAAAAATTTGATGAAAACTTTTAAGCTTTCTCCTACACACTTAAATAATATAATTAAACACTAATGAATGAGAACGTTTGTTATCATAAAACCACATGGAGTCAACGTTCTTTCTTTTTTATTTTTGATAATGATAAAACACTTTTAGATTAAAAGTGCAGTGTTTATATTTAGTATGAATGCTTCAAATCCTTATGTATAATGAAGATTGCTTACTCTTAATTAATGCATTTAGTTTTTTTTAAAGATTACAATAAAATATTTATAATATTCACAGTAACTAAACAAGATATACAATATCCATAGTAGCTAAGTAAGATATACTAAATATTTATAACTAGGGCATAATATTCAACAAAACCATAATTAAGCAACACTCACATAAATTAAACATAAAGACCTATCAAACTCTACTTAGCTTAATCTTCTTTTTTCCCATTTTTTGTCATCATTAAAAAAAATATTCAAAACTCCTTAATGAGTGCATCTAGATTTTTCATTAATCTTTAAATTAGACTTTAACGAATGGGAATCATAAGCACTCATACAACAAAATCATACAAGCTTATAAATATAGTTCAATAACTTCAAAAGTCTAGTTTATAACTATGTAAGAACAAATGTAAGAGAGTTATATCATTTCAAGAACTTGTCAAGGATCACTCAAATAATGTTTAAGCAAATTTGATCATTTTGTTATAATCAAAACTATAATAATTTTAAAGTTAACAATCTTTCCCTATTTGATATGACAAAACTATGAGCATAATTTGCATTTGAAATAATTTTAAAATTTCCCTCTCAACATATGCTCAACATATGCATAAAATTAAATTTGCTCATAAACTTTCTCCCTTTTTTTATTATATCAAAAGGTCAAGAAGTGTAAGTATAAAACACTTAAGTCCAAGAAATAATAGTTAGTAAAAATCATCAAGAATATAAACATTAAGACCATGAATATGTAACAATAAAGTCACAAAGTTATTATTTATATGCACGTAATATTTGCAACCAAGTCATTAAGAAATATAGCCATTAAACACAAATAAGTATTAATTCATTAAGAGAATCATTAATAAGAATGCTAGATATGTGTATATATATAAGTGAAATGTGGACATAACATTTATAAAGTTCAAGAAAGATAAGCATAAAGATGTTTAATAACCACATAAGCCACATTTTAGCTTTAATACCAAGTGTTAAAGCTCAATAT